AGGAGCCCTTGGGCGTCGCCGCTCCATCTCCTCCGCCGTCGTCGTCCTGTGCCGCTGCTGCTGCGCTCGACAGCTGGTCCAGCCCAGCTCCGCTATGCAGCATGGCTGCGGCGGTGCCTGAGAGGTTGGCCAGGTCCGTCATCTGCTCTGCTCCGGACCCGTGCCGCGCATGGCGCTGCCGTTGCTGCTCGAGACGGTGCTGCTCAATCTGCCTCTGGTAGTGCTGTTGGTGCTGCTGCTGTTGTTGCTGCTGCTGCTGCTGCTGTTGGTGCTCGCTGGCGGGGAAGCTGTGCGAGCTCGGGAAGTGGCGTCCCAGCATGGCGAGGTCCGTCGAGGGGTGGCCGCCGATGTTGTTGCTCGACACGTCGCCGGCGCCGCCGTGCCCGGCTCCCTCTGCAGCGGCAGCGGCCGCCGCGCGAGCCTGCAGGTACTCTTCCATGCTGCCGGCGAGCGACAGGGACCGCGAGTAGCTGCTGGGCTCCTGGCTTGGCTCGAGCAGGCCCATCTTCTGGCGGCTCGCTGCACTGGCGGCGGCTTCGAGGTACGAGAGCTGCTCGAGCTGCCACGCCTTGTCCTTGCCGTAGCTGCCGCTGCCGGTGCCGCTGCCGGAGCCGCTGCCGGAGCCGCTGCCGGAGCCGCTGCCGGAGCCGCTGCCGGAGCCGCTGCCGGAGCCGGAGCCGGAGCCGGAAAAGGAAGCGTGGCGCAGCGGGTTGTAGGACGAGGATGGCGCGCCGTGCCCAGGGCCAGCTATCGCGCCCGACCCTGAGCCATACGACGGCCATCCACCGGAGCGGTAGTTGTTGGCGGATGCAGTGCTGGAGGATCCGGCAAAGGCGTGGCCAAGGCCGGCGTCGACGGTCATCGGGAGCATCATGGCGGCGGTCGAAGCCGAGTAGCCGCGCGAGCCGATCTGGGAATGGGGGTGGCCAAAGGGGCGGTCCTCGTGCTTGAAGAGCTGGTGGTGGTCGGCCTGGTCGGTGACGAGGTTGGGCGGCAGCAGGTTGGGCACCTTGAAGCCGGGCGCTCCGATGGTGAAGGGGTCAAACGACTCTGCCGACGAGAGGCTGTCGGTGATGAACCTCGACTCTTCGGAGGTGAAGAGGGACGACGAGGCCGAGGACGAGGATGTCGCCGCCGCCGCCGCATCGTTGCCGCCGCCGGCGTGGTTGTTTGTGGGCGTCAGGGAGCTCGACGAGCCCGAGGAGCCGCTGGACGAGGCGGGCCGGTGGGCCGAGGCCATCTGGAAGGCCATGCTCGGCGAGGCGGCGGGCGAGGGTCGAGGTAGAGAGATGGAGCGAGGGTTGCCTAGACGGTCATACCGCGGTCAGGCGCTGGCTGGCTGGTCGGCGGGCGTGGATGGATGCGCTGCGGGACGTCGGTTGCACGCTGGTGAAGAGGTACGGCCGAGGCGAGGCAAAAAGCGGTGGATCGACGATGCAGGTGGTGGGATGGCAGCGGCCGGATCGAGGTGCAGCTTGCGGTAGAAGCGAAGGGCGTCAGCAGGGCAAGACGGAAGCAGGGCCGGGCAACGGATGGCTGGCGGGGGATCCAAGTTGCGAAGCTGCAGAGGACGATGGGCGCTCAAGGACGACGGCGAGCTGCTGTGATGGTGATGGTGGTGCTGATGGTGCAGGGCTGGCCGAGTCGGATGGTGGGGGGAGGGCGAGAAGCCGAGGGCGGCGAGGGCAGGGTCGAGTGAGGTGAGGACTGGGCGGGTCCACCGGGCGAATCGGGTGCCGGATCGGGTTGCCAAAGGCGCGCCCAGTTGAGGCATGCGTGTGGAGCCGGGCAGGCCAGGGCAGGGCAAGGCAGGGCCAGCAAAGGGAGGCCCGCCCGCCTTGCCGCGGCTACCCGACCCGCATCGACAGGCCAGGCCTGCCAGGCCTAACCTGGCCCTAGCCTGCCTAGCCTGCCTCTTGGCCGTGCGCTGCGCCGCGCCGCTTTCACGCGATACGCCCCGCAGCAAGCAGGCCAGGGTCCCGCCCGCCCGCCTGGCTGCCTACTACTGTAGCTTTGGGCCTGGCTGCTTCTTCTCTGCTGGCTCGCTGGTTCCTTCCTGACGGCCAACCTCATCAGCGTGGCGTCTCGGCTTGGCCTGTCCCCACCCACTCAGGCCTGCCTTCCGCCCGCCTGCTTCCATCGGCTGTTCCCGAGGGCGCGAGCAGCACCCCAAGCACGCACGCACGCACGCTCGGTCGGCCTCTTGGCAGCCTAGCCTGGCCGCCGCTGACCGCCCCGAGGCCAGAGCAGGGCAGGCAGGGCTTCCCCTTGCCATTCGACCACATGGCCGCCCCGACCAGCGCCTGCCTCTATCTGACCTCGCAGAGACCCAGCGCACACCACCACGCACGCACGCACGCACAGACGACGGCAGCGGCCCGGCCAGGCCAGGCCAGGCCAGGCCAGGCCAGACGCTCGACCCGGTCATGGCGCCATGAACTGCAGGCTGCTGGATGGATTGCGGGGCGCGCGTTGCAGCAGCGCGGGCCAGGCTCGACTCTGCTACCGACCTCCATCACATGCAGTCGCCACGATGTCGGCCAGGCGAGCTCGAACGGCCATCAAGGCTCGGCGCTCGTCGGACTGCCCACCAGCCCAAGGTCGGCCTCTCGCATCTTGGCCGTCAGCTTCTCCTCGATCGTCCTCTGCCGCGCGTCGTCGACGTCGTCGCCGCTCCCCGCCGTCGCCAGCGCATCCGCCGGCAGCGTCGCCCGCCTCGGGGCGGCCGCACCCTCACCCGCAGCCACACCCGATCCGCCGGC